AGAGCGCTCCCGAGGCTCCCAAGAGCGCTGCAAGAGGGCCCCAAGAGGCGTCCAGGCGGCCCCAGGAGGCCCCAACAGGCGCCCCAGAGGCCTCGAAGAGGCTCCCAACAGACCCCCAAGAGGCCCCACGAAACTCTCCGAGGTACCCAAGACGCTCTAAGAGGCGTCCGGGACCGTCAAGAGGCCCCCAAGACGCGCCACAAAGCCTCCACTGGGGGACCCTTCCTGAGTGTGCTGCCCGCTTCCCTGATCGAGGCAATTCCCCTGGGCACCGCTTCTGGATGGGCTGGTGGGGTTTCACGAAACGTCAACAATATCTTTATTATCTACGTTTCGTTGCCAGCGCGTACCCCGAGCAGTGGTGCAAGATATGCGTAAACTACAAAGTGCAAATTGTGTGGTGCACGCTGCGCGGTGCAAGCTCTGCTGCATGCTCTACCTTGCACGAGTGGGCGTCCACTCCATTGTTCGCGCGATCACCCCGCCCTCCCACCCGCAAGTTGTTTGGCACAGCCGGTGCTGCGGTGATTGTGGTGACGACTTCTCGGCGATGGCTGGCGCAAATATGCGGCTGTGCTGACGCACGCAAGCTCGCGGGCACAGCGTCGACTGGTTTGGCACCGCCGATGCCGCCGCGATGACGCTTACCGAAAGGAGCCTCCCAACGTGTCTCCAACGCCGCCCTAGCGCGCGGGCACTTCAGTGCAGGTCGATGACCCGGGCGGGCGCGGTATCGCGATGACGCCGACAGCGGCGGCAAAGATGATGATAGCAAGATGATGTGGATGATGGAGATGACGACGACCAGGCCAATGACGACGCCGATGCTGGTGACGACGATGACGATGATGATGTCCATACGTCGGTGGCGAAAGTGATCGGCTGAATCTGGCGGCAAAGGCGGCGATGGGCGATGACGATGTCGGCGGTGATGCGGCGGCAGTGATGAAGATGATGGTTGCGAGTTGCGCGCACGGAAATGCCAGACATCTGACACACATACTGTTGACAATTATTCCGAAAATCGGATCCACCATGATAATATGTTTGGCTTGCCCCTCGCTCTTTCCGCCTCTTTCCTCTTCGCGCTCGTGGAAACCCTCCTCCCGCCTTTTGTTGCGCCTCCTTCTCCCCGTCCTCGTACTCCGTTCCCTCATCCGTCTCGTCCTCCTCCTTCCATGTTCTCCTCCTCCTCCTTCTCGTCCTGTTCCTCCTCGTGCTCCCCCTACTTCTCCTCCACCTCTTCTTCCTTCTCCCTCTCCTCACTCCGTCCTCCTGTTCTCCTCAACGCCTCTCATTCCTTCTGGCCTGGGCGCACATGCCGATGTTCCTCGGCGCCCTCGCCGCCACGGACAGAAAGGGCGCGTGCTCGGATGGCCGGATCGTGAAGCCGTTGGTTGAATCCCGTCGGCCAAGCCGTTGGGACAACCCCGCGAGCCGCTGGGGCGCGGGAGCCCGCCGCTGGGGCAACCCAGCAATTCTCGAGCTATCCGCGGTTCACTAACACACGAGGCTCCCGCCTGAGACGTCCTCATGATTTCATCTTGAAAAGCCCAACAATGACGACGGTTACAGGAATCCGATGGCCCGCTCGGATTACCAACGTGGAGTTCAGGCGACACTTATAAGAATCCCATGACCAGCTCGAATTACCAACATGAAATGCGGGCATCCTGGGAGGGGGCTCCCGCATGACGCTTCCTCGCGATTCACTCAGAAACGAAGCTCCCGCCTGAGACCTTCTCAAGAATCGGAGCTCAGACACCCAAAGAATACGACAACGAATATTTTGAGGATGACCCGCTCGGATCGTAGTAGTAATAGTATTAGTAATCGTGTTAATAGTCGCCGTGGTGGTAGTAGTAGTAGTAGTAGTAGTAGTAGTAGTAGTAGTAGTAGTAGTAGTAGTAGTAGTAGTAGTAGTAGTAGTAGTAGTAGTAGTAGTAGTAGTAGTAGTAGTAGTAGTAGTAGTAGTAGTAGTAGTAGTAGTAGTAGTAGTAGTAGTAGTAGTAGTAGTAGTAGTAGTAGTAGTAGTAGTAGTAGTAGTAGTAGTAGTAGTAGTAGTAGTAGTAGTAGTAGTAGTAGTAGTAGTAGTAGTAGTAGTAGTAGTGGTAGTAGTAGTAGTAGTAGTGGTGGTGGTGGTAGTAATGGTGGTCGTCGTAGTAGTAGTAGTAGTAGCAGTAATAGTAGCAGTAGTAGTAGTAGTAGTAGTAGTCGTAGTAGTAGTAGTAGTAATAGTGGTAGTAGTGGTAGTAGTAGTAGTAGTAGTAGTAGTGGTAGTAGTAGTAGTAGTAGTAGTAGTGGTAGTGGTAGTGGTAGTGGTAGTGGTAGTGGTAGTGGTAGCAGCAGTAGTAGTAGTAGTAGTGGTAGTAGTAGTAGTAGCAGTAGTAGTAGTAGTAGTAATATTAGAATTAGTAGCGGTAGTCGTAGTAATAGAGGTAGTAGTAGTCGTGCATATAGTGGTAGGGGTCGTGGTAGGTAGTAGTAGTAGTTGTCGTCGTCGTAGTAGTAATAATAATGGTAGTAGTAGTAGTAGTAGTAGTAGTAGTAGTAGCTGTAATGTAGCTGTAGTAGTAGTGGCGCAGTAGTTTAGTAGAAGTACTAGTAGTAGCAGTAGTACTAGTAGCAGTATTCGTCGTAGTAGCAGTTGGGATAGTACTCGCAGTAGTATGAATAGAAATAGCAGTAGTAGTAGTAGTAGTAGTAGTAGTAGTGGTAGTAGTGGTAGTAGTGGTAGTAGCAGTAGTAGTAGTAGGTAGTAGTAGTAGTAGTAGTAGTAGTAGTAGTAGTAGTAGTAGTAGTAGTAGTAGTAGGTAGTAGTAGTAGTAGTAGTAGTAGTAGTAGCAGCAGCAGCAGCAGCAGCAGCAGCAGCAGCAGCAGCA